CCAGAGTGGCCACTGAGCCGTAGATACTCGTCAGTGACCGAGTCAGCCAACCACGTTTCTTCCTGCGCTTAACTCCTCCACGCTTACCCCTTTTCGTTTTAGTCCTCCTCACCGAAGACTAGGCTCCGCACAATCCCGCGGGTAGTTCTCCGCAATTCCACAGGGATGTCACACACTGGGTCCACAGAACCGGCAGCTGCGCGCAGACCCAGGATGTATTCCCGGGAGAGCATTGTGGTGTTAGCTTGCCCCAGCAGAAAAGTGCACGCCACTCCGACCAACAAAGTGATCAGCAGGAAAAAACGATCGCTGTCGCTGTGAACTAAACATCTTCGCGCGTACACACACGCCAAACCACAACGAATTTAAAAAATAAAGCATGTTGTGGTTAAGTCCTAAAACGGAAATAAACACTTAAACAAACAAAACAACGGACCATTAGACGCACAACCCTGCCGGCTGCCAGATGAACAGCGCCGGATATCGGCGTCGTAAGGTCAAAGATGGTAGATAAATGCTTGGAAACATGCTGATACTACACACCTATGAAGAATGCAATTCATCAATAGTCAATACCTGAATACAGTACATATTCTGAAATATTTCAAACCTAGCTAGCGTTTAATTTTCTTTACATTTGCATTTAATCTTTTATTCCGAAATCTTAATCCTACTAATTATTAACACTTTTTAAAAACAAGACATAAAGGTCTCTCAGTCGCTGAAAAGTGAATGACACTGATAGCGCAACTGAACTGAATTTCTGCCCTCAATTCATAATACTGACACGCAGATGTTTTAGACTTAGATAACTTGTCTTCATTCTTATTGGCTCGCGAAGTAAATGCACACGGCTAGAATGACCAATAAACTACCGCGCCTCATTAACTATTAAACAACATGCACACTGAAACGATATCCATTGGTCAAAATGTTCATCCCTATGGAAATAAGGCGATTTGAGGCGGGACTAGTTAAGTAACTTCGTGGATACGACAGACCTTGTGACCGCAATAAAAAGTTTGAGAATTCTTGGTGCATCAAACTACTCTTAATGTGAGAGACAGTTTGAATAAGTGGAAGCTCTGATTAAGCGTCTCCTGCATCCAGCTTTTCCCCAGGTGTTGAGAAACTGATACTGTTTTGAGATGTCTTCAGAAATTCCGGAAATATGCAAATCCTTGCTTGAGTTCCCCTTCTCTGTCCCTTCGCTTGATGACAACGGTAAGAATTTTCTCTATTGGCTCAATAGAGGGAAATTGGAACACACCAATTTACCCGAATTCCCACCATAGAGTGTGCAACTGACACATTTGGTATACTGCAGGATTGTACTTGTGATATTAGATACTACGTATGTCATGCATTAATAGATGGTACTTAGGTAGTGGCACATGCGTTCAAAATAAGACGTACATTGACTGAATTTCCTGTTTTATAGCACTAAGTAATGCATTATTTTAGATGAACGTGAACTTTTTTTATGATTAATAAGTGTCAACAGCATTGAGAAATAGTTTGCTAACACAAGGTTTTGGATACATTACTAAAAGTGGCAAAACAGACTGTATTTGCAATTAAACTATTAATAATGTGGCTTGTTCCTACGTGGTGTCTGTTCTAATTTATATATGTATTTAGCAAAATTATCCAATATAATTATCTTATGCATAGTCTTATTGAATATTGACAGCATGCGGACTGTCATAAAAGTTTTTGTAAAGATATTGTTGTTGCACCAAGTAATTTGCTAAATCTGATGCAGAAATGTACAACTTTTGATTTATTTCAGTCATCTTCTGGACAATATGAACCTGTAATTGGTATAAAGACGAAAATAACAAAAACAAATATTAAAAAAGTATGCAACCGCAAATAAAATGTGCAAAAATACATGCATAATACACAAAGATTGTGGAATGCAATCGCAGATTGTTCATTTATAATGTATTGTATGTAATATATAACAAAATATAGAGCATGAAATAACATAAATTGCATATCACCTCTCGTAAACCCAAGGGCAAGCTGTTTGCATCCTCATTTTACACGTGAAACTTGCGATATTTTTCCTATACATTTGCTGCTTCGTGATTGGTCTGTATCATGTCTGTATGCACACTGTGACTGCCATGAGTGCACGTGCGAGGCCATGCGCCAAAACCCGCCTTGAACTGGTTAAGATATGGGTACACAGACAGTTCTCCCGCGGGACATGAGCTAATTAGTTGCAATGACGAGGCATAGTATTGTTTTAATCCCTGACACTGTTGTGTTATTAGTGCTGATTAAGTTAATGCTTAATAAAAAGTGACCTTGAAGGTCACTCGTACTATGAAAGCGAGTTTAAGTGGAATAAATTGGTAAAAGTTTAAAAGGCATGTGATTTTAAAGTTTTATATGGTATATATATGCCCACAATTTAAACCCAACTGTGTCAGTGTATCAATATGGGTCTCGTGACACGCTTTTCTAACACATTTGTGAAAATATATGTAACCGTTTTGACCGACCAATGAGGGAGTCGCTTTTGACGTCAACGACACACTGACACACCTCCGTGTCATCGCGCCTGTTTAAATATTCATGAGAAGCGAGCGCAACCAACCTATCCGCATCCAAAAACTAGTGTATCGTGTGTATATTAAAACACTCTCTCCTGTAACTAACTGGAAAATTGGGTCAAACACAGAAGTAGAGTCTGAAAAGGAAGGGTGTAAACTGATTTCAGATTAGATTTTTTAGCACATAAGGCATTGAAGACATTATTATCATTTTCCTGATGTAACTAAGTTAGGGATTTCAAGTTATCTTTAAAGTTACGCTATTCTTACGCGCGGCACGACAGCATCGGTCAAAATGGACGTGGACCCTGTTTCCGTCTCGATAGACGCAGACTCTGATGCTCCTTCTCCTGCCTTTCCAGTAGTTTTAAAGAAAATCATGGAAATTCCGCCACCGAATCTTCTCGAAGGCGATGACGGTAAGTGGCTCTGCACCAGTCGGCGCTTGTGGCTGCGCAGAGGCTTGCTGTCTGTGCTCGCTCTATCGCCGAATTATTGTCGAATGCATCATGTATGTTAATATAAAACAGACCAGGACACTTTTCTCGTTGTGTAAATATATAACGTGTTTATTTATGTTATTTATAACATGGTTCACGGCCTTAATGTTTTGCATTCTAGCGAAAAACTGGATCGAACTAGTGATGTCCGCTTCGTGAATGAATGTTTTTTTTCCCCCGGTTATTTGAACGAAACTCTTTGCAAGAACCGATTATTCCAGTCACAAGATGAAACTGATACTTTGTTTCCTTTTCCAAATGGGCACTCCTAAATCTTATTAGACTTTTATTACTTAACGTACCAGTCATATTGTTAACTTGATTTTTTTAAGGTGAATTTATTCTGTTGACCATTGCCAGTCTGCCTAATGTAAACTACGTGTAGATTTGGAATTTGAACAAAACATTACTGTGTTTTTATATGACAGAAAATGATAAAGAGAAAATATTTGAGGATGTGGACTCTGAAGGGGTCAGTGGAATGGGACCATCAGCTGCCTTAACACCTGCCATCTGGGAAAAGACCATTACCTATGATGGCGAGACCTTCCACCTGGAATACATGGATCTGGAGGAGTTTCTCATGGAGAATAGCATTCTTGCCGCAGAGGATGAGGGTCTGCAAAAGAGTCTTGTGAAAGAAAACGCACAACTGACAACTGAAATATCATCCACAACCTCTACAAGCAAGACAGCCCCAGCAATCTCTCTTATGCCAGTCATGGAACTGGATCAGTGTGAGGAGGAAGTGGTCACAATCACGGAATCCAGCTCTAGCTCAACAGCCACCAAATCAGGTCAGCAGAGAAAACAGAACACAGTGTACTTTCTGTCACAACACACTTAATCCATTACACAGTCAAGCTTTTTATCATGAAGATCCAACTTAAAGACTCAACAACAATTAAGTGATATTTAAACATATTCAGTTTAAATAGCAAAAATGTCTGAAACTAATGAAACTAGAATTTGATTTAATTTCATTACTGGAATTTACTAATTCACCACAGATGAGGAGCGTGTGACGCCAGAGCCCATTAATCCAGATGATATCGAGGTAGAGGTCCCCTATGAGCCAGATCCCACAGACATTGTGCTGTCCAGCATACCCGGAGGTGAACTGTTCGACCCTCGCAAACATCGCTTCTCCGAGGAGGAGCTGAAGCCTCAGCCTATGATCAAGAAAGCAAAGAAAGTGTTTGTGCCTGAGGAACATAAGGTAAACACACAGTCGAACCTGTATACACGTTTAAAAAAGAACTGGTAAAAATGACCAAAAAATGACTAAAACTAACTAAAAGTGTAAACTGAAAATATAAAAATAAAAACTTATTTAAAATATGTGACCCTGGACCACAAAACCAGTCTTAAGTCGCTTGGGTATATTTGTAGCAATCCTAACAAACCATACGTCAATGGAAAGCTTATTTATTCAGCTTTCAGATGATGTGTAAATCTCAATTTTAAAAAAATTGACCCATATGACTGGCTTTGTGGTCCAGGGTCACATATTAATATAAACTATATTCATATCTCAAAAACACTAAAATAGCACTGACTTAAATATGACCTTAATATTGTATAACATTTTACTTAACGTGATAGTGAACCCAAAAATGAAAATTCTGTCATTAATTACTCACCCTCATGCCATTCCAAACCCGTAAGACCTTCGTTCATTTTCAAAACAAAAATTAAGATATTTCTGATGAAATCCGAGAGCTTTCTGACCCTGCGTACACAGCAATGGTACTACCACATTCCAGGCCCAGAAAGGTAGTAAGGACATCGTTGAAATAGTCCATGTGACATCAGTGGTTCAACCATAATTTTATGAAACTACGAGAATACTTTGTGTGTGCAAAGAAAACAAAATAACGACTTTATTCAACAATGTCTTCTCTACGGTGTCAGTCTTCGATGCGCGCCCACGAGAGTACCATGACGCATGCGTGTGGTGCTGCTGACGCAGGAGCCGGTGTTCTGACGTAGTTTACAGGCAGAGGAATGCACACGGATGCGTCGTGGTACTCTCGTGAACGCGCATTGAAGACTGACACCGTAGAGAAGACATTGTTGAATAAAGTCGTTATTTTGTTTTCTTTGCACACACAAAGAATTCTCGTAGTTTCATAAAATTACAGATGAACCACTGATGTCACATGGACTATTTTAATAATGTCCTTACTACCTTTCTGGGCCTTGAACGTGTCAGTTATGTTGCCGTCTATGCAGGGACAGAAAGCTCTCGGATTTCATCAAAATATCTTAATTTGTGTTTCAAAGATGAACAAAGGTCGTACAGATTTGGAACGACATGAGGGCGAGTAATTAGTTTTAAGTTTAAGTTTTGCCGATATTATCGGCCGATATGAGCCTGTCGCCGATATATCGGTATCGGCGAATATGCCGCCGATATGAAAACAAATTTTACAGAACATATAATGCAGATAAAATGCTTGAAATGGTGTAATTACTTAGTTTGTCCAGCAGAGCGCGCTCCATTGTTTGCTACTGGCGACCTGGATGAAACGCTTTAAAGTTTAAGTCTATGGAAAACCATTGAAACTTTGAACGGCCATATCTCCGTAACGGCGCGGCGAATCCGCACCAAATTCGGGGGATCTCTTCAGCTCAAGGAACCCTCTCGAACGCGAATCGAGTGTACGTCTCGAGGCCCTCTTTCGAATGAGACCACCTCCGTGTGGATAGCCCCCGGGGTTCGGGAGTTACGGGTGGTTAAATTCGCGGGCCGGCGCCGACCGATCTAGGCCGTTTTTTTTTTAACTCCCTAATATCGGTATCGGTCCCAAAAAACCCATATCGGTCGGGCTCTAGTATTTTCTAACAACACAGGGTCATTATCAAAATAGAGAGAGAAAAAATCTTGTTCCACAACATTTGATTTTATGTCCACTCACTATTTCAGGACGAGAAATACTGGCAGCGGAGGAAGAAGAACAACATTGCAGCCAAACGTTCACGAGATGCCAGGCGCCTAAAAGAGAATCAGATCACAGTACGAGCAGCCTTTCTGGAGCGAGAGAACTCCGCTTTGAGACAGGAAGTGGCAGAGTTGCGCAAGGACTTTGGGCGCTTCAAGAACGTTGTGGCACATTATGAAGCCAAATACGGACCGCTGTAAGGGACAAACGTACACGCATATTATAAACACATAATCGAAACAGCCCCACTCAGAGTTAAAACACAGCAACTCTTATAGGTGAAGTAGTACTGTAAAAAATGTGGTGATTAACAACCTTTTCTCTTCTTTTTCAAGTGCACCGGCTGAAGACTTCTAAACAATTATTGATTTATTTGCATTTATGAAAGGCAATAAATTAATAATGGTGTGGAATGAAGAGGAGAAAGCAGGAGATAAATGAATATATGAGTCAAACTGTAGAGCTAAGTGATATTCATGTTTTTAAAAAATCCTGTCAAGCACTATTATCAACATATCCCCTTCATTTTAATCTTACTTCAGTTCAAAAGCACACCCATGTATATCCAATAGAGCTTTTTAAGTCTTTTTTATTTTTTGTAATACACCATGGTAAAAGAGTTCTCCCCTCTCTTGTTCTTGTTTTATAATATCAAAGTAGTTTTAGGAAATGTTTATTGGATGTCATTGGTCTTTATTCATAAAGAATGACTGGCATTGACTTCAATGTACTTTCTTATATATCTTTAGCATGTTTATCTTTGACTTCTCTGAAAAATTACATTAATTCTAAGAATTCCTTTGGCAAATTTGGTACAGGGTACCAAGTGGTGCATTTTGCCTGCAAAAGTAGAAACAAGATGCCATTATTGAAATACGGGGAGAATGTATCACATTAATAATGTATCATTACAAATAACTGTTAAAACGGAAACAAAACTGTAAGCAGGAATTGTAAATTGATCATGTTTTGTGCTGCAAAATATGTTTTTTGTCTTACTGTCAGCAAGTGCTGGAATTATGTGCTCTGTACATCTGCGAAACTTAAAAAAATATTTAGATCTGGTTTACATTTAGTGTCTTTCATAATAACGTGAGTACATTCTCTAAAATCATACCTTGTTTACTTCACCATGGTCATTTGCCCTTTATGGGACCCATGGAGGTCAGTTTATGTACAGAAATAACACTGTACATGTGACGGATCTTGTATCTGCTTAGAACTTAGAAAAACAAATGAAGTGCCGTTACAGTTTTTCATATGTATCATATGATGTATATTTTTTCAGATAACTTCAAATATTTTACAAAAATGGCTTTGCAGTGTGAACCACACCATTCATAGATTAGTCAATATGAATCCGTAAGTGACTTCAGCAGAGCGCTTGTTTATAAAGGGTGCCTAGTGTGTTACATATCACAAACCAAACTCAAACCTCTCGTAAAGGCAATGCCACTTTCCTGCATTTTAGGTACATATTTTGTGCAACTTGTCTCTGTGATTTTGAAACGTATATCATTAAAGAAAGAAGGCAGAGTCAAGTTTCACAAACAGTCAATATCGTGTGTTATCCGTTCATTGTGTGAAGTGGAAATTAGGCTAACTTTTATTACAAAGTTTAATTTTGCAGTACTCGCATGATGTGACCACATTTGTCCATTTTCAGGTGTTCTGTGGAGAGGGAATCTCATATGTAACGTAATCTTGACCAAAGCGAACTTTGATCGAACACTGAAAAACACAGAACGACTCCAAATAAATCAGGTGTTTAAACTTTGCATATTTGTGGTCTGTAGGCGCTTTTTAAAAATGCACCTACGGTTTGTCATTTCTCCTTGAGCGTCCTTTCTGATGAGTGTGAAATGTGAGATGAGGGACAAGACAATAAAATGGAACTGAGTTTGATGGCTGTTCTGAAAGGAATAGTGACTGTTCCTGGCAAGAAGCATTTCTTCTGTTGAACTAGAAGAAAACTCAGTTGCATGAGTTTGAGATGCCAATTTTGTTGCAGTAACAAATCTTTTTGTCAGATTTGAATGTTTTTCAAATTGTTACTGTTCTTTTGGGAGGGATGAATTCTCTTTGTAAGTCTTATGAATGTTTTTTTTTTTTACTTGTAGATATTGCCTCGGCATCTTGTTGTCAGATGTTTTGTGTTGTACATATTAAAGAATTAAAAAATGTGCCTTGCTTGCATGTCCTGCATTTATAACAATACGCATTGTGCATAATGCTTTGATGCCTCAGAGAATTATGACTGAATCTCAGATTTCAGATGGGAGAGGAGCGTTGTGTAACACAGACAGATGGCAAAAAAAAGTTGCATAACACCGAGGGTGGGGCTAAAGAAGGCAGTGTGATATGCAGATAGACTAAGCTGAACCAAATGAACTCCAGTCTGAAAAAGAATGCAGCCATTCGTGGTGGTTTTCTTCAGAAGTGATCACATTTCATTTAGGATTACCTAACATTTATTGAATTACAATTCCCAAAAGGTTTTGACCAGCATATGCCTAGCAAGCCTATACAATCTCAAATCACATATCACAGATTCCTTTACTTAAATGGGCCAAGGCACACATTTAAGAGCAAATCAGAGCAAATGCAAGCTAAAAATAAGTTTTATTCAATATATACACGTTGGAGCTGGTTTATGTTGATACATATGAATTTGACGATTGATCAATATTGGATTTTGCTGATACAATAATGTGTTTAAAGAGACAATAAGAAGATTGTGTTTATACTAGTAAAATCTATATTTGGTATGTCTTTCCTTCCTGTGACATTGTGCCCCTGAGAGAAGCCACAAGAGCTACCTCGAATTAAACACCGGATACGGTTTGTGTAGCCAAAACATCAATAATGCCCAGAATGATTTGATGCATAATGCTGGACTTTTAATTATAAATAAGCCCAGGTCTCTCATCTTGAAATCTCTATAATACTTCCAGCTGCTAAGTCCAAAAGTTGATAAAGATAAAACATTCATTCTTACAAGCATCTAATCATCTAATAATGAAAAAATTTAAAGGTTGTCAATAGCCAGGTAAATACTAGAAGACTGCAGGTTATAAGTATGCAGTATTAGAAGTATCAAAATCAAACAGAACAGCATAATCAACATCACAGCATTAAAAAATGTATTGTAACAACGTGATAACAAAATGGAAAACTCTTGCATGGAAAAACTGTGACAAAGAAAATCCCTTTGTTTCTTCACCTCTTCTTGAAGCCGTATTTTTTTCTCTCATAGAAAAGGTCAGTCTTCGAGCTGCCGAGGTTCACGATCTTGGGGCAGCCATCCCTCTGATGGGCCAAGGCACACATTTAAGAGCAAATCAGAGCAAATGCAAGCTAAAAATAAGTTTTATTCAATATATACACGTTGGAGCTGGTTTATGTTGATACATATGAATTTGACGATTGATCAATATTGGATTTTGCTGATACAATAATGTGTTTAAAGAGACAATAAGAAGATTGTGTTTATACTAGTAAAATCTATATTTGGTATGTCTTTCCTTCCTGTGACATTGTGCCCCTGAGAGAAGCCACAAGAGCTACCTCGAATTAAACACCGGATACGGTTTGTGTAGCCAAAACATCAATAATGCCCAGAATGATTTGATGCATAATGCTGGACTTTTAATTATAAATAAGCCCAGGTCTCTCATCTTGAAATCTCTATAATACTTCCAGCTGCTAAGTCCAAAAGTTGATAAAGATAAAACATTCATTCTTACAAGCATCTAATCATCTAATAATGAAAAAATTTAAAGGTTGTCAATAGCCAGGTAAATACTAGAAGACTGCAGGTTATAAGTATGCAGTATTAGAAGTATCAAAATCAAACAGAACAGCATAATCAACATCACAGCATTAAAAAATGTATTGTAACAACGTGATAACAAAATGGAAAACTCTTGCATGGAAAAACTGTGACAAAGAAAATCCCTTTGTTTCTTCACCTCTTCTTGAAGCCGTGTTTTTTTCTCTCATAGAAAAGGTCAGTCTTCGAGCTGCCGAGGTTCACGATCTTGGGGCAGCCATCCCTCTGTGTAACAATGAAACAGACAGTTCTTTAGAAACGTAATAAAAAACATGCATGTAAACACACAATAATTACACTTGATATTTTATTCATATGAGATTAAACAGCAATCCAAGGACAGAGGAAAAATCCCTGATACTGGGCAATATAGACTTAGCATCAGCCAGTCAAACAATACTTAAGCAGAGCCAAATTTTTTACTCACGTCTTTCTCCTGGATGGTGCACTCTTTGCAGTAGTAGGCATCAGATACTCCAGGACCTCCACAAATGACACAGCGCCCTTGGTAAGACCCATAGTTGCATTCGTCACAAATACGAACTAGTGTACAAGGCCTGACGTAAGAGTCACAGATAACGCATTTGCCATCACCTTAAAATGAAAAGAAACAGACATTTGTCGAGTTAAAGAGCACAACAATGAAGAAACACCATTCTTATCAAACAGAATTGCAGCATATATGTATCACTTAATAGCCTTGAAGCTCATGGTAGTTCTATTTTTTACAACACTGTTAATTTCTTTATGGAAAAATATGAACGGATGTTTGTTTGTTTTTTTGCTACTGTTGGACACTATTTATTTAGTGTATTACATGTGAAAATGTATTGAATATTTGGGGGGAATCACTGAAAACATATGAGATTTCTTGGTAATAACAACAACAAAAAAAAGGCCAAGCTTCAAACCAATAAAGTCAAAAACTTACATTTTTCACATAGTCTTCCAATGGCTGCAACGAAAGGAAAGATCCAATTAGATTCAACGTATCAAACTGAAACATTGCAAATGAACAAAACAGCAAAAGTTTTTAAAAAAATGCTGACAATACTGCCCTCCAACTACTGAGGCGCTGTATTGCAGTAGTAGGCATCAGATACTCCAGGACCTCCACAAATGACACAGCGCCCTTGGTAAGACCCATAGTTGCATTCGTCACAAATACGAACTAGTGTACAAGGCCTGACGTAAGAGTCACAGATAACGCATTTGCCATCACCTTAAAATGAAAAGAAACAGACATTTGTCGAGTTAAAGAGCACAACAATGAAGAAACACCATTCTTATCAAACAGAATTGCAGCATATATGTATCACTTAATAGCCTTGAAGCTCATGGTAGTTCTATTTTTTACAACACTGTTAATTTCTTTATGGAAAAATATGAACGGATGTTTGTTTGTTTTTTTGCTACTGTTGGACACTATTTATTTAGTGTATTACATGTGAAAATGTATTGAATATTTGGGGGGAATCACTGAAAACATATGAGATTTCTTGGTAATAACAACAACAAAAAAAAGGCCAAGCTTCAAACCAATAAAGTCAAAAACTTACATTTTTCACATAGTCTTCCAATGGCTGCAACGAAAGGAAAGATCCAATTAGATTCAACGTATCAAACTGAAACATTGCAAATGAACAAAACAGCAAAAGTTTAAAAAAAAAATGCTGACAATACTGCCCTCCAACTACTGAGGCGCTGTAAACAACCGACCAAGCACGTTTCCATCTGTTGCTAACTTGCTACAATACCAGCGTTTTCTCAAAATAAATATCTGGTTAAGCTGTTAACGGTTACCTAAAGCAATAAATTAATCTCCTCCAATTGTATTTTTAATTTGACTATTCATTCATCTGATTTTAGCTCTAGCAAACATTGTCACTGTATTGTTAGCTATAAATGTTAAACAAATAACAGTTATATTAAATAGGTATTAAACTCTAAATCTAGATCTAATAAACAGAAACCTTACCGACTCCAGCCTGTTTCCTGCAAAAAATCAAATCTGGGTGATGTTTGGCCATTATAAAGCACGAACGCAGACTGCTAGCCAGACACTAGCGGCGATGCAGCGATGACCTCCGAATTTCCTCCTTCTGATGTTTTGGATTGAAGGCTCCGCAACGTCTTCCTGCCACCTACTGGACGCAATAACACATGATCATAAGTGACAAAATGTCATGCATTACATTTTTAGGGTATAGAGTAGGGTTAGGGTAGAGTTTTTTTTTTTAAAGGCAAGTATGTATGTATTAGACCAAATGTGTACTTCTAAAGATATCAGACATGTGTTTCATGGCGAAATCTTATCCAAACATTGCCAATAAAATTACATTCTCAATAATATAAACCGGAAAAGGTCAGGTGGAGGATTTGTCACAGTGGAGGAGGAAGTGCTCCTCCGTCTAAACTGATCCTGATCTTCATTCATTACAGATTCGCTCTTCTTTAGGTAACCACGTCTTTTTATGTCGTCCTCTTTTTATGGCCAGCTGGTGGTCACTCAGTCTGTACTTCGTCAGTAAATGTCTGTGTGTTATATTCCTGACTGAGACCAGATAGTCAGCCAGACTGCACTCTCTGTTGAGTTTCAAATAACATTGGAGATGACTTTGGTCTTTGGTTTGTTCTTTCCAATGCTGTATGTATGTCTCCTTCTCTTCATTCATAATTTCTTTGATTCTTCCATGTTTTTCAGGGTTGGTGATATAGAGTGCTTTGTTAGTCAGATCTGACACCATTACACAAAGATGACTTTTTTGAGCACTCTTTTTGTGTGTGTTTTTAGTGCTTTAAAATGAAGAGAATCTTCAGAACTAGAGTTTAAGTGGATCCAGAACTTTAAAACTCTTTTTTAAATGATTAGATTTAAGGGGAGACGGCCTAACTCCGCTCTGCAGGCATTAATCAGCTATCATTTCCCTCTGATTTTAGGAATAAATTATGGGTAGGGATTGGGTTTAGTCTATATTTTTGGACAGTTATGTTGATCACAAAAGATGTTGATCCAGGAACATGTCTTACTTGGCAAAATCACGGCGACCGTAAAGGGTGTGTAGTTATTCGTTGGACCCCAGATCTCGCTTCCATACAGGGTAATAGGCAGCATGACACTATCGAATATCTTTGTCCAAATTCTGATGGGGATGTTTATTTTGAATGATTCTCTCTCTCTCTCTCTGTGTGTGTGTGTGTGTTTGTGTGCGACAGTGCGAGTGATGTGTGTGTGTTTGTGTGCATCAATTAAAGCAGCGCATTAATATGGAACAGTGATTAAACTGACTTGGAACTACCTGTGCATTAAACGGTTTTACTGCATACCTGCCAGCCAATTGGAATCCAGTATTCAGACAGACCATGGAATAACTAATGTTAACAAATGGAACCTTACTGTAAAGCGTTATTTAATATATTATGAATCTGTGCTTGGAGTTATATATTTTTTTACCTTTTTATATAAATGTTTGTATATTGTAATGTTTGTTTATTGTATGAAATTGTTGTTTGTATATTATATTAGCTAAGATGCGTAGTCTACTGTTGCCTGCTACTGTATAGCTTTTATGGTATAAAGATATAATTATATCCAATATATCCAATTAAAGCAATAAGCCCCAAGAAGCAGAGTGCCTAAAACCCCCTTAGCTGTTATAAATTCACTGTAAACCATAACTTCATGGGGCTTATTGCTATTATAAAACGGTTATTCCATATATGTAGTAAGGTTTCACAAAATAAAACAGAGCAAATAAAGTGTAATGACTTAAAAACAGTATTCTTCCACCAAACAATGTAGTTCCTCAGAATCGGTTGTGGTTGCAACAAAGTGGTTGCCGAGCAACACACAAATGTAAACAAAGGTGTATGTTTGTAGCAGAGCCGTTGAGCTGCGTCTGAAAGCCTTGGCAGATGACTTGCTGCCTCGCTGCCTAATGAGGCAACGACTTTGCAGGCAGCGTTTTTGCACGAAGGCACCTCATGAAACTGAGTTCAGACAGGCTTCTGAGGCAGCGTAACGGTTTAATGATCTACAACAAAATAGAACGAGTTTTGATGATAACTAAATGAATATTTAATTATTATAATACTGATTTCTCGCTAGAAATAACATCAAAAGTGCAAAAAGTTAGTCAGAAACATACATTTAAACACAAACTGACCACCAAACGCAACTTTCAGATACCATCTTTATTTTTTTTT